GAGATTGTCTGATGATTTCCGCATTCTGTTGGGTCACCTCTCTTTGGAATGGGCACAAATATGGATCTCTTCCAATCAGTCGGCCAGATAGTTGCCATATATTTTGTTGTTGTTGTTAAGTGCCGTCGAGTCGGTTATGACCCTGTACAGGGTTTCCGAGGAGTGACTAGTGAGCTTGAACCACTGACTTTGCAGTTCAAATGGCTTTGCAGTCTGGCACATTAATCCACAGCGCCACACCAGGACTCCTATGTATAGTGAGTGAGTAAATCAAAGTTTGAAGCCCATCCATCTCCTGGATCTCCCCCTTCTCTATATAGAGAGTCTAGGTGTGGCACTGTAGTAATAAGCACTGGACTGCTAATCGCAAAACTAGTGGTTCAAACCCACCAACCACTCCTCAGAAGCCCGCTACAGGGTAGCGATGAGTCAGAACTGATGACTGCACTTAACAACAACATATGTAGACATCTTTAGCGAAAGATGAGGCTTTCTGTCCCCATAAAGACTGATAGACTCAGGAACCCTACACAGGGTCACTATGTGTTAGAAACCCCCTCGATGGCTCACAACAATCCTGGTGTGACACTATAGGATAAGCACTGGACTGCTAACCACAAGGCATCATTTAACAGTAACAGCATATATATCAACTTTTTATTATGCATTGGGTGTCATATTTTTACAGTCAAGAATCCCAAGACAGTCTCACAATAACCCAGTGAAGTGCTATTATTAATTTTATTTTGCAGCAGGGAATCCTGATGCCCAGAGAGGTTGTCACTTTCTAATACCACACAGCGAGTAAACAGAGCGGTTAAGACGCCTACCTGTGGGGGAAGGTGTATTTGGGACTTATTAGACCTAATTAGGTACAATTAAGCGTCCCTTTAGGCTGGGGAGTCACGTCTACGTGACGTCACGAAATTGCGCGGTGACGCCAGCCTCAGCGGGCGTAGGAATACTACTAAACTTCCGCGGGTTGCCGTTTAATGGCATCAAGCTGCCGAACCGCCCTACTTCCGCTGCATAGTCAGCGAATGAACACCGGAACGTCAGGGTCAACGAGGTGACGTCAGGGCGCACCCTTGCAGGTTCACCCCTACCCAGAGCGCACGCACGTATGTACGTACCCACGCACGGACGCAAGGTCACGAACGGGCGGGGGAGGAGTGGAGAGAGGGAGAGGCGCCCCGCCCAGTCAGGAAGGTGGCGTGTGCCCCGTGCGACCGCCAAGATGGTGGTGGGCGCATTTCCTATGGCGAAGCTGATCTACTTGGGCATCCGGCAGGTCAGCAAACCGCTCGCCAACCGCATTAAGGAGGGCGCCCGCCGGAGCGAGTTCTTCAAGAACTACGTCTGCCTCCCACCGGCCCAGCGTGAGTCTGACCCCACGTCCCTCCAACCTTCCCATTTTCCAACCCTTCCCAGGTGGTTGCTATGGGGGATGGACATCTACACATGACCAATTACAGCCCGAACCGGCAAAGCCTTGCAGCCAATAGGAAGTTTTCCTGGGCGGGGTTTGTAAGTAGCCAATGGAGAGGACGGTAGTGGGTAGGAACGCACGCGGAGTATAAAAAATGCTAACCAATAGGTGAAGAGAGCGCGTGCTGACTGACTTCGAAGGGAGCCAATACTGTTGAGGAAGGGAATGATTTGGGGAGAATTTACCTGGAATGAAGGCGCCTGGGTGGCAAAGTGTTTATAATCGCTCAGTGTTTATAGTTGAAAGATTAACTGTTCCATCCGACTAGTCGCTCTGTGAGGTAGAGCTGCGAGAGAAAGATGTGGCAGTGTACAACCGTAAAGATGATAACCTTGGGATAGGGTCGCTGTGAGTCGGCGCCGACTCCTCAGTAAAGGATTTGGTTTTTGGTGGTGCCGGCAATGCCACTAGCTGGGGGCGGAGCCGAGGCGGGATCTTTTTGCCAGGTTCTCTGTGGGCGACCTCATTTCCAAAACTTCCTTTCATGCCCAGGGAGTTTTTGGTATATATCAACAGTTTAGGACACTGGTTTGCCCTAGTTGTACTCCAGGGAAGAGATTTGGGTTAGGGTTGTGGCCCTGGAGACTAGAGCATGATTTGGCAATTGGGCATCAAACGAATTTTAATTCGGAGTGGGCATAAACGAATTAATCCTTTCGTATACCACACAAACATTTGTGCGTTCATTCATTCAATGGGTTGTGCAGTGACTCGACATTGTCAACCCAGAGTATCCAAACGAAGGACCTCAGAGGTTGTGTCTGAACCCGGGCACGGGGTCAGGAAGAGGTTCTATGGGGGCGACATTCTGAGCTCAGCGTAGTGGGGAAGGTAAACAGTGAAAAATACGAGCTACTTAAGTATGTAGGTACTACGTTCATCTCTCTTACTTTGGGCATGATGTCCCTGGAGAAGATTCATCATGCTTGGTAAAGTGGAGGAGGGTCAGCAAAAAAAGGAAGGTCCTCAAGAAGACAGATTGGCACAGTGGCAGCAGCAGTGGATGCAAACATAACAATTGTGAAGATGGTTCAGGCTGGGCACTGTTTGTTCCATTTTGTTGGGCATGGGGTTACTATGAGTCTGAGCCACCTGGGTAGTACCTAACAACAACAACATAAGCCTGTGAACAAGGATCTCAGGGTCAAGCGTGGTTAAGTGGTTTAACTGCTAAACCAAAGTTTGGCAGTTCCAACTCACCAGCTGCTTTGCAAGAGAAAGATGTGGCAGTTTGCTTGTGTAAAGATTTGCTGTCTCAGAAACCCTATAGGACAATTCTACACTGTTTTATAGGGTCTCTATAAATTAGAATTGGCAATGGTTTTATGTTTCTGTCTTACTTGTGTTGGCCTGTGGGAACATAGAACATGGGGATCCGATGTAATCTGCTGGGTCAGGGACCACCATAAATTGATCCCTATTTCGATTTCATTCCGTGACTATTTTCCAGTCACCTGCTCTCTGTCCGACCTTGTGCTGGTGAAACTGTAAGGCTTGTTGTTGTTGTTGTTGAGTGCCGTTGAGTTGGTTCTGACCCTGTATAGCGACCCTCTATAGCGTTTCCAAGGAACAAATGGTGAGCTTGAACCGCCAACCTTGTGGTTCAAACTGACCTTACAGCCCAGTGCATTAACCCCCAGCGCCACACCAGGACTATTATCTTCATTTTATGTATATACTATATATGTATCTGTGCTTTGGTTGGTGATTGTGTGCCATCGAGTCAATTCTGACTTATAATGACCTGGTATAGGGTTTCTGAGGAATGACTGGTGAGTTTGAACCACCAACCTTGTGGTCAGCAGTCCAGTGCTTATCCTACAGCACCACACCAGGGCTCCATTTGTGCTGTAAATGATACCTAATGTATTGCTGTGAGGATTGTTGTTGTTGTTAAGTGTTTTCAAGTTGACTCCAACTCATAGCGACCCCTATGTACAACAGAACAAACACTGCCCGGTCCTTTGCCAGCCACACAGTTGTTATGTTTGAATGTCTTCCTCTTTTTTGCTGACCCTCTACTTTACTGAGCATGACGTCATTCTTCAATGACTGTTCCCATCTGGTAGCATCCTGGCTTCTAGGGAGCGTTCTAGGTGTACTTCCTCCAACACAGATATGTTTGTTCTTCTGGCCATCCACGGTCGAATCAGTGGGTATAAAATGTGAAGTCAGTGCTTGGCACCTAATTGTGGCCGTAGTGCAGATGTTATGGATATAGCAGAGGAAAAAGGCAAAAATGCTGTCCGTCCCTGCCCCTTCCTCTCCAGGGACCTAACATCCTTGTGACAAAGCCAGTCAATAAACAACAATGAGTAATTGACATATGAAGCGTCCTAGAGAGCAATAATTGCCATTGAGAAGAACCTAGTAGGAAAGTTGGATGTTTCAGTAGGGTTGTGGGGAGGCCTCACTGAATAGTCCTGACGGTGGTAAGGGAGTCAGTAGTGTGGGCATCTGGGGAAGAACATTCCAGGCCCCAGGTCCCCATCCAGGAGCATGCCTGGCACACAGGAAGAATGTGGAGGAGGCTGGTGAATTGGGAATGGAGAGACCGAGTGGAGACTGACAAGAGAAAACCAGAGGTGGTTGGCGAGGGGGCAGAACTTGCGAGACCTGTGGCCACAGCCAGTGCCTTGGTTCTTTATAAATTCAGGTGTTTATTTATACATACCTGAATTTGTATGTAAACAGGTTTGTTGTTGAGTTCTGACTCTTCGTGACCCTGTCTAGGGTTTCCAAGGATCAGCTAGTGAGTTTGAACCACTGACTTTGGGGTTCAAACTGACCTTGCAGCCCCCTACTGATCTTATAAAATCACACCAAGACTCCATCTATATAGGTAGTCCTGGACTTACTATGTATTAGAGTTCTAACAAATGCAATAATTACAGTGTTGCAGCATGCAATCTGTTGCTACTGGTGTTATAAAATCAGCACTGGGCCATAAATACAAGGTTGGCGGTTCAACCCATCTATTGCTCCTTGGAAACCCTATACAGGGTTGCTGTGAGTAGGAGGTGACTTGACAGCACTTCACAACAACAACAACATTATCAGATACTCTCTCAAAGATGTTGGAAGATCGCATTTATAGAGACATAATAAAAGGCAACAATAATGAAAAAAAAAATAGAAAAGATGTTGCATTTACTGCAGTTGTCAGAGTGGAATCCCATTGTGGGTTGTTGTTGTTGTTAAGTACCATCGAGTCAGTTCTGACCCATAGAGACCGTCTATAGGGTTTCCAAGGAGCAACTGGTGAGCTTGAACCACCGACCTTGCAGTTCAAACTGATTTTGCAGTCCAGCGCATTAACCCACAGCGCCACACCAGGATTCCTTCCATTGCAGGTTGGAGAGAGAATGGAATTTTTTCCTTGAACTTTTTGAAGCCCCTTTGTGTGTGTGTGTTTTGTCATGAGTCTGTTCTAACTCACAGTAACCATGTATTGGGTTTCCGAGGAGCGACTGGTGGATTTGAACCACCAACCTTGTGGTTAGCAGTCCAGTGCTGGTTCTACAGTGCCCTTTTCTCATGCATCAAAAGAGAAAACCCAAGCCATGTTAGAATTGCAAGTTTTATTTGGTGCATAGATCCATGGAAGGACACCACCTTTCCTGTAAGTAGGGAAAGTGGCCCCCACCCCAACAAAGACAGCCAAGGGGTTTATATTGAAAACAGAAAATAGAACAAAGCATTTTTTCCTCTCTACTTTGAAGTTGCAGCTGGTCATTACCTTTCTCATTCTCTCAAGTCCTGCAAAAGGCAAGGTAGACAGCAATTAAGATTTTAAGCTCATCAAAAAAAGCAGAGTCTGTTGAATATCAACTTAGAACGTTTGAACACAGGTTCAAACTGTGTGGGTCGAAATGTCTCATGCATATCAAGATCAAAGGGGCAGGTGTTTGTGTATGAGGCCCCCTGGAGTAGTTTTTCTGAAAGGAAACGATTTGACAATGTGAGTATATATACTTAAATAATTTTATTGTGGGAAAGCATAGATAACAAAAAGTTGACCATTTTCACTGGACAATTCAGTGACATTATAACATTCACCCTGTTTGTTACAACTATCACCAGTATATCTGTTTTCAATTCTTCTAAGGATATGCAGGAGTCCTGGCCTGGTGCTCTATGCTAAGCAGTGGACCGCAAGGTCAGAGGTTCAAACTCACCAACCGCTCCTTGGAAACTCTGTACAGGGTTTCTATGAGTTGGAACCTGCTTGACGGCACTTAACAACAACAACAACAACAACAAGGATAAGCACAGAACTGTGAAACACAAAGTCAGAAGTTCTGTCCCACCCGCCACTCCATGGGAGAAAGATGCGACTTTATGCTCCCACAAAGATATACAGCCTTGAAAACCCTATACCGGGTCACTGTGGGTCGGAACCATCTCGACAGCACTTTTACAACAACCAGAAACTCAGTATCCCTTGTTAGTCATCGAAGGCAGCCATCATTGAAATACCACAAGTGGGGGACTTTAACAAACAGAAGTTAATCTTTTCACAGTTTAGGAGGCTAGAAGTCTGAATTTAGGGTACCGGTTCTTGGGGAAGACTGTCTCTTTTCTGTCAGTGCAAGGAGAAGGTTCTTGTCTCTTTTGAGCTTTTGCGCTTTTTCTCCTGGGAGAGCTTTCTGTGGCTTGGCACCCATCTCCCTCCGTTGCTGCTTGATCCCTTGCTTTAATCTTATTTATGTCTCAGAAGAGATTGACTTAAGACACCCAATCACCCACCCTGTAGAACAGAGCAGATCTGCCCCCAGAGAGTTCCCAAGGCTGTACAGATGCAGACTGCCACACCTGGCTTCCACCGAACCTGCCTCATCTTCCTCCCAAGTACTTAAGACCCACCCTACTCTAATACGGGAGTCGTGA